GCGAAATGTACGCCGACGCCATGGCGGCTCAGTACAAACGCGGTTCCGCCGACCGCATCGCCGGTGCCTCTGGTCAGTACCGGGTTGTCGCTAGCCCCAAGACATATGCGCCTCAAGCATCTGACCTGTGGACCCAACGGCCGTCGTCCCGCGATCTGAGAATGGTCCCGGATGGCGACCGCCGAACGCCCGTTCCCGCCTTCATCCAGGCGCAGGCGCCCGCGTTCTACCCTGGACCCTACTACACTCCCAACTTTGCGGGCCAGTATCCTCCGCAAATGTTCGACCCTTACGGACGTCCATCGCTTCCCCTACCGAGCTACGGCCTGCACATGGCGCCGTACTCGATGCCGGGCGTGATGCCTATCCGGCCCAGCAAGGACCAGGACCCTGGCAAGGGCGTCCGCAGCTTGCTACTGGAGGAGTTCAGGTCCAGCTCCAAGTCGAACAAGCGATACGAGCTGAAGGATATCTACAGCCACATTGTCGAGTTCAGTGGCGACCAGCACGGATCGCGCTTCATCCAGCAAAAGCTCGAAACTGCAAACAGTGATGAGAAGGATCAGGTGTTCCGCGAGATTGAGCCCAACGCCATCCAACTGATGAAGGATGTCTTTGGCAACTACGTTATCCAAAAGTTCTTTGAGCACGGCAACCAGGTCCAAAAGAAGGTTTTGGCGTCACAGATGAAGGGCAAGGTTGTCGACCTGTCCATGCAGATGTACGCCTGCCGCGTTGTCCAAAAGGTGTGTGCATATTCGCGTAGCAAAGTGGACGAAGCTAACAATCACAGGCCCTGGAACACGTTCTCGTCGAGCAGCAGGCCGAGCTTGTGAAGGAGCTGGAGCCCGAGATCCTCAAGGTCGTCAAGGACCAGAACGGCAACCACGTCGTGCAGAAGATTATCGAGCTGGTTCCCCGCCAGTACATTGACTTCGTCATGGACGCATTCCGCGGCCAAGTCAGCCAGTTGGCGGCTCACATGTACGCCTGCCGGGTCATTCAGCGCATGCTGGAGTACGGCACAGAGCAGGACAAGGAGACCATCTTGGCTGAGCTGCACAACTCGACCCAGGTTCTCATCACCGACCAGTACGGCAACTACGTCGTGCAGCACATCATCGAGCACGGCATGCCTGAGGACCGATCGAGAATCATTCAGCTTGTCATTGCGCAGCTGGTCACCTTGTCCAAGCACAAGTTTGCGTCCAACGTTGTGGAAAAGTGCATCCAGTACGGTAACGCGGAAGAGCGCAAGGGCATTCGGGAGCAAATCATTTCCCAGGCGAGCGATGGTACAAGCTCGCTCCAGTTGATGATGAAGGACCAGTACGGCAACTACGTCATTCAGAAGCTGCTGAACCAGCTCGAGGGTGCCGAACGCGAAGCCTTTGTGGAGGAGATGCGACCCCAGTTCCAGACACTCCGCAAGACCAGCACCAGCCGCCAGCTCGCCGCCATTGACAGACTCATCTACGCGACGACGCAGACGACGCCGTCCAAGTCTGGGGGATCCCAGGCCGACACCAACTCGGCCGCGCCAACCCCGGTTCTGACTATGGAGCCCAACAGCCCCCAGAGCAGCAGCCCGCCCAGCACCAGCGCCAGTGCCGTTGGCGAAGTTGCCGAGGACGATAACAAGTCCAGCGCGCCCGGAGGTGTCAGCCTCAAGGTGCAAGTGGAGGAGGCCTGATAACAGTACTACATGAATCTTTTGCGATGACGGCGTCTACGGTTGCTTCGGACATGCATCACGACACCAAACGGACTTGACGATCCCGGCCCATGTGCCAGACTTGTTTAAAAGAGAAGAAAAAAAGACGACGAACACTTACCTAATTTTGTTTACACATACCTGATCTGAATATGCAACTCCAAAAAAAAAATCACCCACATACATGGCTGGAACACGGTCACAACGGTAGAAAATCTGCTTGGACAAACATTTGGGGAAAGGCGAGGGTTCCCAAAACGGACATGATTCTCTGTTGCTTCTTTTTTTTGGTTGCAAAGTTTTCTGAACTTTTATTTTGCGAAGTAATGAGTCTGAGGTCTCTGAAGAGCCATTGGAAGGGTTTATCACAGGAACAATGGTTGAGCGATACGAACACGGAAAGCGGCCGGTTGGAATTTTCAGGTTCCTATCGGGGGTTTGTCGGGTTTCCACCAAAGGGGGCATCGGGGCTGGTCATTTTCAGGCGCAGATGATATTTTTCGAGTCTTCTTGTATTTTATTGAATTATTCGTGTCTAGGCGATACCAGTCTTAGTCTGACGGATTAGACCTGTCAATAGACGTGAGAGTATGGACAGTTTCTGATGATTTGGCGACGTGTCATTGTGAGCGTGAGGTGAGAGTAAGGGAGTCGCTTGAAGTCATTCAAGGGATTACCTGTTTGCGGTGTATAACATTCCCAATCACCTCGACGCCCAGTGTAAGCCAGATTGTGTAAGTCGTAGTCCTCGGCAGATTTTCCGCATTTTCGGAAACGGACCCGACAGCGAGGTCGGCATCGGGGTTACCTTGGATAAGCGGCAGGGGATCCACCCAATGACATCAGGGGGAAACAGCTCCCTCCAGACGCCGGTATTAAACGTCGGGTTCCTGAGCTTAGCCTTCCGACACACTGGACCCCGTGCCCCCCCCCACACGTACCATCGTGGAGATTAAACCTGAACGGGTGTATCCGCTGCCATTTTACTTTCCCATTTCCATCACCCCCCAAATTTCCCAATTCTTTTTTTCTCCCTACACAACCACCACGACCACCACACACCTCCACACACACGATGCAGCCTGCACGATTAACGTTTCTGTATCCGCACCTTTTCCGGACGATACGCCTCAGCGAGACGACTACGGCGACGACGAGCCGCGCGGCGTCGAAATCATGTCGGAGACGGGGACCCGCCGAGGTTCGGAGACGGGGGTACGCCGCGTTCGCGCCTACGCCTGGGGCGCAGCAGTCGGGTTTCGCGCCGAGACACGGAAAGGGGGTTGAGCCTGTGTCTGCGACAGCGACGACGACGACAACACCGGTGCCGGCGCCGGCGGGTGATGGAAAGGAGGCGAGTCCCGGGCAGGCTGCGGTCGGTGCGTCCAAGGGGGCGACCGACGACGGCGTAAATCCCAAGACGGCGGCAGCTTCGGCGACGACGACGACAGCATCGAATACAGCGGAGAACAACGCGGCCAACGCTACGGGTGCCGCCTCTGGAGACCAACAGCAGCAGCAGCAACAGCCCGAAGAGGCGGAGGAAGCCAAAGCCGCAAAGCAGGAAGCCCGCGACCAGGCGAAGAAGAGCGGGCCCCTCGAGGCGATCCTACACATGGGACCCCCCGAAGAGGTCGCCAAGCAGCACCCGCACATGGCGCCCCCGCCCTACGTGCACCACTTTGACAGCTACTCGCTCGTAAAAGACCTCGAGGGCGGCGGGTACAGCAAGGACCAGGCCATCACGCTGATGAAGGCGATCCGCGCGATCCTGGCCCAGAATTTAGATGTGGCGCAGGAGAGCCTGGTGAGCAAGAGCGACGTCGAGAACGAGACGTATCTGTTCCGGGCGGCGTGTTCGGAGCTGAGCACGGAGGTGAAGAACAACCAGAAGCTGGCGGACGAGGAGATGCGGCAGAAGAGGACGCTGCTGCAGCACGAGGTCGATATCTTGACGCAGAGTCTGAACCAGGAGCTGCTGACGCTGAATGATAACGTGAGGGGTATGTTTAACGATCGCAAGATGGCGGTGAGGGAGGAGCAGAAGGCTGGTGATAGTGTGGTGAGTGCCCCTTTTGTTTTCTGATCCTTCTCGAAGATTGAGGATGATCGTACTGATGGTGACCAGATCCAACAAATCAACTACAAAATCAGCCTTCACCTAAGCAGCGACGCCAAATCGGAGATTGAGGGCCTGCGGTGGATCTTGATCCGGCGGTCGGTGATTGGGATCCTGTTCATGGCGGTGTTGACGCTGGGCACGCTGCGGTACGGGACGTACGTGAGCCATTCGAAGCAGGCCGAGGCGGAGAGGATGAAGAAGCAGGCCGAGATGATTAAGATGGCGGACGGGAAGAGGGATCATAGCTCTGCGCCTGATGCGGCGGAGATTTTGGCGGCGAATTGAGGTGGTGAGGAGGAGGGGAAAGGTAATTGCGGCATGACAGCTGAGGTAGCGGGGGCAAAACGGGAGCTGGGGTTTGGAACTGAGGGGAGAGAGGAGGGAGGGGCGAGGAGTGAGGCATGAGTGAGGAGTGAGAGGGTGAGGCTGTCTTATGTGGCTGGCGTGATACCCTATAGACTTACAAATTTGGAAATGACGTAGAAGCAAGCAAGTCTTCTGTTCCCAGGCTGGTCATCGCGACATGAATTTTTTTTTTTAAAAAAGCTATGATACAGTCCACTGAATACCATACGGAAGGAACATCGAAAATTCCAGGCTTAGACGCGTGCCAGGTAATGACCGGCAACCTGTTTCACCTCTATGCGCCTGTTAATAGTCGTGGCCAAGCGTGATCTTGTGGCGTGGGACTTCATTCTGCCTTACGTGAATAGCGGTTCCTGCTTCTGATCAGATCTTGCCATATACGCGCCTCTCCAGAGGAACAGAAAACCAGAACAGGTCTCCTCCGGAGCTCTGTGCTGAGCATTCGTAGTGGGAGGCGGCGGTTATGTCATGCGATGCCATGGTCTAGAAAAGATGTGTGAGAGTTTGCATCTCCCACATGTGGTGCCAAGAAGGAGGCAGTGCAAAGACGCGCACCTCATTGGACCTCATTGGACAGAGGGAACATTCGGACAGAGGTTACTCACTTCAGTTTGGCGAAATGCTCGCAATCCTCTTTTTCTTGCAAGATGCTGAATACATGTATAAATGATGGCTTTGCCATTAATTTTGCCTTCGCGAGGAGAATAGACATGCAATAGCCAGATTTCAACCTTGCAACTTTGCCTTTCATCTTTCGAGTGCAGTCAACCCGCCAGGTAAACGTTAAATTCTCTCACCATGCCTGCTCAAAGGGGTGCAGTACCCTCAAAGCTTCGCTGTGAGAAGCCTGGCTGTGAACTCACCACTTTCACCACTCGATCCAATCTCAACAGGCACAATCACTCCAAACACGGCACTGCTATTCGCATGTCCTGCGGAAAAGCCCTTCCAGATCATAAGTCGAACATTAAGCGCCACCAGAAGGCGTGTGTAAAATGCTGCACAGCCCTTGATCAGCCTTCGAGTCCCGCTGCGCAAACCAGCTTTGGGTCACCTACGAGCGCGACCAACGGTGCCATGGAGACTACGGACTTCAATTCCACCCACGAATTTCATTTAGGAGAGTTCATCGACATGAGCTTTCTCATGGAGGACTATACTTCCGAAATCCTCCAGCCGGAATAGCGGCCCTAGCAAGACCGACTTGGTGGCTCGCATGCCGTCAGAACAGGTATCAACACGGTGCACCCAATGACAAGGAGCAATTCCACTCTCTTGTGGCAAGGAACGGTGTGCAATGGATTTGTGAACGTCTTATACCCGGGGCAGAGCTGGCTATTCCATTTTTTCATACGTAGCAAAGCTTGTTGTACGCTAATTGCCCTTGATAATACACAAAATTCCGTCCATGCGACCTGCCAAAAGTTCAAGTAAAGAAAAGGCTTGGTTCTTCTTGATGTACCCGTGAGTGAACCCCGCCAAGGGCGGAATGGCGGGAATCCAACGCCAAGTGGGGTGGCACGTGCGGGGCCCCGGCCTGGGTAAGTGAGGTGGATCCCGACCATTAGTAAAATGTGACTGAATGAACTCTCACTTCGTTCTTAGTCTCTGATAGAAAATCGCCAGCCGGGCTTCGACGAAGAAAAGTCGCGGAAGTCCAGGATTCTATCTGAGACTTTGACAGTTCCTTGTAGTGACGGTGATTGCACCAATGTTGCGGCCGACTTTACATTGGGTGCGCTTCGACGAAAGCACCGATGTTTGAGAGAGTGTTAGTGGGCGACATGGTATTTTTTACAAGGCGGAGAATGTTCTGCGTCGCATATGTCGTGAGTAATGAGGCAATTGAGCTGAGCAGTACGCTAATGGTGTTCGGTGCCAGCGCTCCGGGCATCAAGTCCCAACAGCTACAGCCCTCATGATAAATCCCATGGAAGACAACGTCGCAAGTAGCCCAAAGTCGAAAGACGCTTTGGGACGCTGCGCCCTTGGAGATATTGAGCCTGTACCTATGTATAGTGGGGGCAGCCTGCCAGCATAGAACTTACCAACGGTCCTTCCCGTCAACTTGGCAAATGCTACGACGCCACCCCGGCGCCTTTTAAGGGGAGAGCTAGCCATTCTTATGTAAGGAATGCACACGAGGAGACATGAACATGGATTTTTACGTCTGTGTATTCATTACATGCCTTGCAACTTGGGTACTTATGCATCAGGGAAATTTACTGTACACCAAGCGAGAAAGCCTCGCAGCGTTATAGACTTTCCGATGTTTGTCTTCAAGGTGTTTCGGGTGACAGCCCAGGATGGTCTGGTATCCGAAGGCCAAAGTGAGACGGAGGCGAGAATTTTGGTCGGCCGAGACGGAGCAATGTAAGTGAGGTAGAGGTGAAGCCTCGGTGAAAGGTGTTGGGGACTCGGTGTTGCGTGTGGAGTGCCCCGACCAGGTAATGTTGGCACAACTCGGGCTCCAAAGTCTGGCCATACGGCCTCCAACAAAATTAAGTGGCTCACATGGCTCCAGTACCTCAGGTTCATTCGTGCACCGCAGTGTTCAAGCTAAAGTGTCTGACATGTGTGCCTGGTGAAGTACTCCGTTAACAAGAATCGGCAAAGCTGCAATAAGCAAGTTCCCTATCGTAAGCCCACTGCATTAGCCATAGACTTGGAGAATTGGGAGGAGCATACGGAGTCGCAAGTGTCGCTTCCCGAGACTAGCCTAAGCGATAAGAACGCCTTCCGCCAATCCCGGACCGTCCGGTAGTTGTCGCCGACAGGCAACAACCGAGAGTCCAGAGTGCGACGCCTGCCAAGTGGTCACTGGCAATCCAGCCTACCCCCATGCATTTAGTCGACGAGATGTGGTCCTTCGTCGGCATTGAGCACTATCTCCCATTTGTGAATTACGGTCCCTGCATGCGATCGGACCGTGCCATGTACCGACCTTCTCTCGAGAGGAAGCGCCCATAGACCTAGCCGGGAAGGAGGGTACTCTCGACAGAGACCAGATAATCTTCGAATCTTTGAGATCTCTTCTCCATTCAAAGAAGGCGGCTCTGCTAGCATGATGGGGCAAGATACAAGAGAAATGGGTGCACTTGCCATCAAGTTAACACAAAAGCTGCATTATGTACACGAAGTGGTACTACTTATTTTGGGGGTACTGTCCAATCAAGCGGCATACAACTAGCAGAAAGAACGATTTCTGGTGTGCAAATCCCCCTGCCCCTAGAAAACCACGGCTTTGGTAGGCGTTTCCCCGTGCAATTAGCATCGTGGTCCAGAGGTATGGGAGATATTGGAACTCCCAGATGTAGATTTGGTCATGGAGGCTTATGGAATGTATGTCCCGTACAAACACAGGGGTCTGGAGAACCCTTGATACTCAGGAGGCGTCCTGGACAGGCGTCCTGGACAGGCGAACCAAACCAGGCTAGTCTATCTCGCAACATGAGCGATGAGGGGAAAGTGATCCAGACTGTAGATGTAGAAAGAAATAGCTTCAGACTGACATAACAAGTGGCGTTACACGGGATGTGCGTCTCTTTTCCTTGTCAAAGGAAGCTGATAACCTGCTAGACTTCTTCTCGAAGCCTGCCTTATATGGGTACCTGGAGTCACCCAATCGCCGAAGGCTAGAGGATAAAATGGGAAAGGGGCCCGCTCGGTTGGCCCTGCCTGAGGTAGGTGGTAGGTGCTTTTCCGCCAGCAAACATGCTATATGCACACTGAGCGGTCGCCCTATCAAACCGCCTGCCGCGTGCAGGGGTGATGGGCCGCCCTGCAGACCGCTCCCGCACCCCACCCCACCTCGCTCTCCGCATCCACAATCGTGCTTCCCTATAAGGTAGCCATTGAGTCGGTACGTCAAGAAGGGAAGTTCGTTCAGTGACGAGGCTCGCATCCTCACTCACAAGATGCCGAACACATGTATAAAGATGGCAGATTATCTCCCTCGTTCTGGAGGGAGGAACAGACAAGCAAAATCCGAATTGCAATCCTGACTTCAGCGTCCCTCTCCACAGCGACAGTCCCTCTATAAACTTGTCCTTAAAAAGCGGTGGACAGTACCCACTACAATGTCTGCCACCAAGGCTCAATTACCTCTCAGGTTCACTTGCAAAGAGCTCGGCTGCGAGCGTACAAAGTTCTCGACTCGAGCCAACCTCGAACGACACAACAAGGCCCGGCATGGCCCGGCAGCGTACATGCCATGCGGCAAGAGGCTACCAAACCACGCAAGCAATACCCGACGTCATGAATTGACTTGTCAAAGGTGCTGCGCGATTACGGGCTCACCATCGACACTCAACGGACATGCCAGCTTGGAGTCACCTACAAGGCTATCCGCCGGTGTCGCTGAGACACCGTACTTCCATCCTACCTACGATACCTCTCTGGGAGACCTCAACGATGTGATTTATCTCAACGAGGACTACCCGTTCGAGCTCCTGTGATCACAAGATCATCCTAAGAACGAAAATTCGTCGTGGCTGAATTGTCAATCGACTCTCGTACGCAGGCATAGAAGATGACGATACAGAGCTGGCAAGGGATAGCGTGCAAACCTTTTTTTTTATTTTCGGCGAAGGACGCGTGATTCAGTCGTGGATTTTGGATACCTAGAGGGACAGCTGGTCATTCCATTTGCAGTTGCGAAGAGATTCTTCTAGGTTTATAAATCCGGATAAATACACAGATATCATTATCAGTAGTTCGGTCAAAGAATAGTGCTGTCTAGTGCATTCAGAGACTTGTGTTGTTGAACGTGCTCCTTACAGATGGAGAGAATGAAAGTGACTAAGGTACGTATCCTAGTGCAGCGTGCGCGTGGATGACGTTCCGACCGAAGCCCGTGTAAGTGAGGTATCGGTGGAGTCTGTGTGGGGGTAAGGTTGGGGTCCCCAGGTGGATACATAGAATCGAGCTGCATGTCACGAGGCCCGAGACTGGCGTATTGACCAGCGAAAGACGCAATGGTACCCTTGGAGTCAGGGGTCAACGGGCTTGGGTCAACGGGCTTGGGTTCAGGACTCCTGGGGAAGAACAGGTACCCTTTGCCAGTGGTTAGCTTGGCCTGAGCGCCCTCACGCATTTGAGAACGGTAACTTGATATCCCGTGCCCCGCCTCTACCCCCTTCAATGGCCCGCGACGTGGAAGGCAAGATTGAAAAATGGTCATTCAAGACCCAGGACAGGAGAAAGGCGAAAAAAACAGTTGACCATTTTCTTTGAATATTGGTTAGCCTTTTGACACGTTGTGACTTCGCTTGTAAGTACAATCTCTTGGATTACTGACAGAGAACTCCGGGTAGTAACCCAAGCTGGAAATCCCTCGAATGTTTCAAAATCACGATAGCGATAAGCATTCTGCGGAAGTCTGTCGTAAGGCGGCACATGCACGGGTGTGCGGTCGGCGAACGACTTCGACTGGTCGCCTTCCAGGCTGGAATCCTTTGTAATGCGGTCTGAGTGGATGACAGGTAGTCCAGGTAGTTATTTGGGGATGCGAGACATGGTGCCTCACAGCTGTGCATGTACCTACGTAGAATGACCTGAGTTCGGGGTTCCAGATGGTGTAGGCGAGGTGATAATTCAACTGATATGTCTTCCAAGCTACTCCTCTCCTTGGGGGAAAGAATTGTATTCAAAAACCTGAGCATCAAGTACCTGGCACCTTACTTCGGCCAACCTTGTCCGCCAGCTTTGCTGTGTAGCTACCTCATTCTATTCCCAGGTGATCGCCCACATAATAATTTCGACACCAGTGTTCCATTTTACAGGTAATTTCTGGTGGCAATCTAGATGCTTTGTGTGTCTCTTCAAAGTCAAGACACTCTCAGGATTATTTTTCATACATGATTTGACAACTTTACGAGCTCATGTTTACATCCAATCCTGCCTATCTTAGCAGATGTGTTTCGTGTTGGGAGAGAAGCAGGCAGGTGAAGTGCCCGGTACCTATTACCAAGGTGCCTGGTAGCCGTTGCGAGCTGCGTCAATCCCGTCCAGGTCTGCGCTGCATCTTTCGCGTGCCAGTCTGGGGTCAAAAGGAAGCTCATCATTACCTTCATTGTGCAGCCAGACTTTTGATCCGACGTTGGAGTCTGTCATGCCGTAGATGGTCGCTATGCACTATGTACCGTACAGGGATAGAGAATCGTCAAGTGTCCCGGTGGGGACTGGCATTTTCCCGCTGGCACCCCCCCGTTTTCAGAAATGGGGCTAAAGTGTACTCCAACCAATCAGAGTGCTGTACTGTACAAGAGCCACCCTTCTCCTCCTTGTCGTTTCTACATAAAGACAGACGGGACGGCTGAGCCATTCGTTCGAACCAATGATCCTACGGCCTGCTGGCCGACATCTGCAGCAACCCACTTCGGAGCCGCCCTTCACCTTCACGCATCCACTCTCCGCACTAGCTTGCCCCTGGACTGAACCTGGCAGCACTAATGCACCGCAACAAATTTCACTCAAACTTCAACTGCCAACTCAATGAAAGACACCATCTCTGCAGTATTCAACGTCTGCAAGACCACTTCAACGCTGTGGAGGATTTCGCTCCTCATCCATGGATATATAGTCAAGTACAAGATGTTCTCTCACCGGTACTCTCCTGTCAATGGGAGCAGAAAACCCAAGCTATTATCCTAACTTATCCTTCACTCAATTTGAATAACCCTCAAAGCTCATCTCTTGAGCGCAGTTAAAGCGCAACACCATCGCACCGATATCGCCATGCCTGCCACAGATACGAAGGCAAAGTTGCGGTGCGAAGCGCCTGGTTGCGAGCATAGAGCCTACTCTAATGCCTCCAACCTCAAGAGGCATATCAGATCCAAGCATGGCAGAGCAGTCCAGATGTCCTGCGGCAAAAGTTTCCCAAGCCACCAGTCAAACATCAAGCGCCACAAAATTACCTGCGGTTGCGATGTTGTGGTTCAGACACCTATGACTGCTACCACCAATACGATGACGACGCCGACCTTCGACGATACTTTCGATCTGATATTGGATGACTTGAAAGATGCTTACTATCCCGTGGACAACAACTTATTCGGGTCATTCCAGTGAGAAGATTGTCAGTTGGGTTGCGATACCGTACGGCTGGTACCTACCTACCTTAGGTAAGCTACTCAAGGCTGGAGAATCCTTGGTGGGATGCCAGACCACAAAGCTGAATGTCAGCATGAGCAACAACAGCTAACTCAAGACCAGGGACTCTCGCATCCACACTTCCCTTCACCTGAAGGCTTTTACAAAACCACCGAAGTTCTTTAAGGTGGATCCGCCATACTTTCCATGCTTCGTTGCGTAGCAAGCGGTCTGCCGATTTCCTTTGGGGTTCATTGGGGTGCTGTGTCTCCGAAGCATGAAGCTGATGGTTTATCGGTTGATGGGGCTATTGAGTTTAAGACAATAACAATCTTCGAATTTCTGAGTTTCCGTCAAAGTCTCGAAGTAACTGAAAGAAGATCCAGACTGCCTTACTCTGGTACAGCTGGTTCTCAGTGCTTGGGATCCACAGTCCATGTAAGTGCCTGGTGGGGTGATCGCTTACGTGATTGATCTACCCCACCATTTCATCGTTCGGCCGCCCGGGATACAGACCTCAGACAACAAGCTTCAGATTCTTACTGTACTTGTGCAGCATATAGCTTCCAGTGCAATGGTGGCTTCTCTGCATTAGTGATCGGTGCGAATGAACTTGAGAAGGGATGGTCATTGAAGCTCCCCGCCAAGAGAGAACGTCCCCGCCGATGTCATTCCCAACAGGGGCGGCTCATGCACAAGGGTCCCTGGTAAACAACCTATCAGGGGTCACCTGAGAAGATCAGATGAATGCCGGTGGTCTGGTAAGAAGGCTGATCAGATTCGGAAGTTTATTCAGACGAGTGCTTCCACTTTCATCCTGTTATGAATGTGGGTTGCCTCCCGCTTTCCTGGCTTCGGGAATTGTCCTGAATGAGATCGGGCTTTGAAGAAAGCCGCAGAATACGATATACTCATGATACGACAACACGCCAAGCATGATGCTGGTATGATGCCCTAGACTGGGGCTAAGCCCGATAGAGTAGGATAGCATGACAGCCGTGATATGAAGGAATATTAACCAACATCATGATGGAGAAGAAGGATTGTCCAGTGTTTTTGATGTAGAGTTTATTAGGATTAACTATTGAAACTTTTGTTGTACTCCATCAACCAGGAGGTAGACCATTATTATCAGTCGTGTCGGAACTCAGACCAAAGACAATGCCAGAGTTGCTATCGTGTGGTTGTTGCAGAACCGATCATGTAGCTTGAGCTTCTCTGCACAGCCGAAGCTGGGAACCGGTGAGCTCTTTCCATGCATATCTTAAGCCCACTCGCGGTACACATCGACAGCCTCGCAGGTAGGGTTGGAGGCCGGGCCAGCGGTGATCCAGACGAGGGAGCGGTAGTAGTAATTGCCGACAAAGGTGTAGCAGACGTGCCAGCGATAGTACGCCTCGTCGCCATAGGGAGCTTGCGAGCCAGCAACGGCCTTTGAGTCGTCCGCGCGGGAGTAGATGAAGAGCTTCTCGTTCTCGTCAAAGCCGAGGGTGAAGAGGGCGGTATTGCCGGGGGAGAAGATGGGGATGGCACCGTTGCTAACGATTTGCAGGTTGAGCATCATGCCGGAGGAGACTGGGTCGCCGTTGCCGATGGGCTGGTTCCAGGTCAGGGCGCCGAGGAGGTGGCCATTGTAGTCAGACTGGGTCTCGTTGAGGAAGTAGTTTGTGTGGGTCGTGGGGCGGTTGGCTTCCTGGACGGGCTCCGTGGTCTCGGGGCAGAGACCAGCTTGACCAGCGCCGGAGTGGCACGAGGTGAGGTAGGTCTCGCCGGAGCCGCCGGTGCAGGGAGTGAACTTGAGCCAGAAGGGTCTGGTCTGGTTGGTGAACTGGGCAGAAGCCAGAGTGGCACCCAGAAGGGCGATGGCGTAGGTGGCCTTCATGTTGATGGATGGTAAGGTGATGATGATTTTGATGGTGAAGAAGTAGTAGTTGCTGATGCTGATACTGATGAAAACGAGACGAGCCCGGTCTTTATACCTCAACTGATAGAAGGCGTCAGTACATCCGTTTCCAGTCTAATTCATGGGCCAATGTAAGCGAAGTAGGCAACAGTGATTGTCGGAGAGCTTCCAAGTACCTTGAAAGATTCGAGAAACAATGTTGGGCACCTTGAGGTTTGGAGACGACGTTTGGTGATGCGGGATCTAACCAAGGACGGATGAGATGAGGTTGTAGAAGAGCGGGGTGGCGCGGTTTATATTAAGAGAGACAACTCTGGCGACCCTTCTTGCTGCTTCCGGTTCAGCCAGCCTTCTTTCCCGGAGAAACCCTGCTGTCCCTCATTTTTTCCATATGACGGATGATCATGTCGGAAGGATCTGGCGGGAGGGGAGAAAAAAAAAGAGGCGGTCGGGGGAAGGCGGAACCCCGCTAAACATACACGAGGTCCTTAGCCGCATCGTAAAGTTGGTGTCACTTTCTAGGGTGACATGGACGCAAACTAGCAAACTAGGAAGTCTCAAAGGAGCACTGGTAACGTGGTGTCGATCACCGCCCACAATTCGGCTCCGTTGATGGGCACAGAGCTAGCGCAAACGAGCCAGTAAGGGAGGATGCTCCTGTCCTCGGTGAAGCAAGAAATCTGGGGAAACAGCTGCTTCGTCTGATTCTGATCGTCCTTGTGTTTGTTCATAGGGTTGCACCGGGTCTGTCACTCCATTCAGCCCTCCGTGTCCTCCGACCCGGCAGTGACTGCTCACATTATCAGAACAGCGATATTAAGCAGTCCCACAGAACTGACGATGTTGACGCTTGAGTTTCCCGGCGTAGGATACCCCACACCAAGCCACGCAAACTTTACGCGGGTTCGGATTTCCAAGTTTCCGGCCGTGGGTCAATCTGAAGTAAATGAACGGAAAAGAGGAGCACACGTGGTCTAGAACTATGGACGGCAGGGCTCGAAGGGAAGCAAGATGTTTGTCTCAAAAAAGAAGCTTCACGAGAACCCCACGTTTCCTGCATCGTGGGAATTGAGTTCAAAAATGGCGCTCCCCAAGGCGGGACGGAACGACGCCACACGCACGTCATAGATGACGGTGGTACGGTTGGGCTTTTCGAGGCTGAAATGTCAGGTGCAACCTTGTAATATCAGGGTGTTTTCAATATGGTGATGCGAGACATTGCGGAAATCCGCTTCAGACTTTGATGTCTTTGATCACAAACTTGTCCCGAGTCCTAAGAGTCATGCGAGGGATTAGTAAGGGCAGAGCTGAATCCCATGTGTAAGTGAGACATGACGTTGGAACCAACGCGGACGTGCCGGCGGGCCGGTTAGGCATCTTGGCTCACTCTTTGACTTGGGTGACTTGGTGGTGAGAAAATAGTCGCGATGAAAGTCAACAGATACGAGAAAAGGGCCGCTTCCGGGCCGCTTCCAGCTTGACAGGATCAGCATACCCCAGGCCGGAGAATATGGACTTCCACTGCATGATCTCCCACGTAGATGGCATTTTGTCATTGATCCTGCACGCCGGCAAGGTTGATCTCGAGGCCGTTTGCTGACTGGAGACTAGCGGGGGTTGAGGCCTTACTGGATGCGGACGAGACACCAACGCCGCCATCCTGGTTAGGGAATCATGCATGCCGAAAGGGCCGATGATGGGGTGTGCTGTGCGGGTTCGCGCAGGTTACGTTGCTTTTGTGACAAGATGCAGTGGAACTCCGATACGAGGTTGGGTCAGGAGGGTCATTTACACGTTCAAATGCTTATGGAAATATCTACAATGAGAATGCGCAATGCGTCAAATCTTCCGTTTCTCGTTTATGTAGTCAGAGATACCCTCTAACCGCAGACGCCCGAGCTGGCAATCGAGTTCAGGTCCCTGGGAATGACTCCGGCAATAACACCGTCTACATCCTCGTTAGCATACACATCATCAATCACCATAAAGGAAACTCACCTCTGTAGGACCACCGGTAATCACCAAGCTGGGCCTTCCACGTCCAAAACACCCAGCCGGCGGTGTTCTTCTCGTAGGCGTGGACTTGCGCAGCGAACCACTTCTTGTAAAAGTCCTTTTGCGTGTCGCGGTTCCAGTCGTCCGAGTTCTCAATCTCGTCGGGCGGGCTAATGCTCCACTCACCGACAATCGTCGGACCCGAGGCGTCGCCATTGCGGTTGTCGTTGCACGACGTCGAGATGTAGCTGTCGTGCGTCCAAGGCACGTCGTTCTTGTTGGCCCACTTCAGGTAGCGGTGGTCGTCAAACGCGGTGAAGTAGGTGTCGTCGAGGAACTCGGTCGGGTTGCCGGAGCCCCAGAGCGAGGACATCATCTGGATGTGGAAGTAGTTGTTGGCGCTGACGCCGAGGCTCTTTTCGACGTTGCGGATGGCCTGAGGGTGTTAGTGAGGTGGACGAAGTATAGACTTTGGTGACCAACATTGTAGCCGTTCTTGTAGAACGTGCTGCGGAGAGACTGCACGGAAGAGTCCCAGTTGGTGGGCTCGTTGACGAGTTCGATCGTACCAACGTTGCGAAGCTCCTTGTTGTCGTGGGCAAGCCTCCTCAGGAACTCGAGGAACTTGACAGCCCGGCCGTATTGGTAGTCATTGTAGAAGCCAGGGGTGTTGGCGAACTGGATGCGGTTAGACGACGGATGTAAGTCTAGGAACAAGGTGTCTTACTTGACCAGTGAACGAGTTCTTCGCCACTTGAGCACCCGGGGCACCGTGCTGGCTTCTTGTTGTTAGTCTTTGGAAGCGTCTCATGGGGTGAATGAACATACTCCAGGATGATGTAGAATCCGCGGTCACTAGCCCAGCCGCAGAGCCGGATCAAGTACTTGACAGCTCCCTACATCCGGTCAGTTATAGTCACACCATAGATCGTAAGAGGACAAACCCTTGGGAAGTGCTCAGAATTCTGGTCAACCAACGACTCATCCAGCCAGTATCCCACGGGAATACGGATGGTGTTGATGCCGTAGGACATCATCTCATCCAAATCACCCTCGGTGATCCACGTATCCCAGTGCTTCTGGAACGCGGCATCAGACCTCTCCTGGCCCGTGTTCATGACGCAGTCGAACTCGGACTGCTGACCACCGCAGCCCATGGTGTTCCACTCATTATTGGCGATCCATGGCTCAAAGACGAACAGGGAGCCCAGGTTGACGCCCCTGATCTTGCCGGAAGCCGTCCACCAGCGCTTGCTCACGCCATCAGAGTCATCGGACGTGGTGTTTTGGTTGTCAAAGAGGCTGAAGCCGCGGGTGTCCAAGAGCTTCCTGCTGCCGTCGTTGGGCAGCCATGCGTGGGCGAGCTGCGTGGTGGCAGCGAGTGCCAAAAGACTGAGACGGACCATGTTGACAATGTTTGGTGGATTGTCAGGCTTGCGATGAGAGGGATGCAGAGACGGAGACAAAGAAGTGTGGGAAGACCGGCCGTCTTAACAAGCTTTTGATGCCTTCCCCGAGTCTTGCGGGCCGCAACGGTAAACCCCAGGATTCGCCAATGGAGTTAGGAGGAAGGAAAACGAGATTATCCCAGGGGCGCAGCACCCGATGCCGTAGCACCAGCTCTTTTCTTGGGGCCTGGACGCTAATGCAAATGTCGATCGTGAGGGCTGAATAGCTCTAGTGTAATTCGTAGCTCTCCTCACCAAAAGGCCCCCTGTAACTTTGCTTTGTCGGCATCGCTTCACCAAATAGCGGGAGTCTTTCAAGTCTATTTCCAGAGAACGCAAGGGTTGACGGCATCGAGCTGCAGGTGTTCGTCCAATCCATCCAATCCGGACCGATTGGCGACCTCGAGAAACCCTGGTTCCTGCATCGAAAGTCGTCGCTGAACCTCGACAGCCGCACGGGCAAGCAGGATGACAGCAGGGAAATTGACGGCTGCCTGGAGATGGTCGCTGGGGCCCCCCAATTGCCCCCATTGCCTCATCAGGCTTTACGACGGGTTGCTGACTGGCTCTTGGCGACCATTGGGGAGGATCGAAAGTGAGACGGCCGGCCTAGCCCGGGGGCCAAGTTCGATTGACCTCCTTGATGGGGTTTAGCTCCGGCTCCCGGCCATGCTCTCAAGATTCAAAGTTCAAGCTCTCGGGTGGTCGACAGGGGTTTCTTAAAGGGCTGCCTGGCACCTGCAGACTGCAATGTAAGGTACGTAGGTTCTTAGTCATCATGCAGCTGCAAGTGTACAGTCAGCAACCGCACTGCTCTTTTTTGGTGCAGGCTCACAAACGACAAAACTCGACTCATATCCACCACAAAAAACATCGTGGATCCACCAAAACTTCAAAAAACACATACAACACCAGGTATTCGCTGGTCGTCACCGACCCAACTACTAATCCGGCCCTCATTGGCTTATCTATGGGAGAGCGGACGGGATCCCGAGTTTTCCTATGGGTATGGTCGTATGTGCTGGAATGCGGATTGCAAGAGGTTGAAGGCGGCACAGGAGCGGTTCTGTGGGCAAGTTGGGAAGGTGTACGATGCAAGAGGAGCTTAGTATCGAACGAAGACGGGCTGTGAGGTGAATTGGGAGGGTTCTGGGGTCTCAATGGTTCAAGGTGGATACCACATTGGGTATGGGATGTGTAGCGTGAGCTCACTCACGCAGCCATGTTGCTTTTACGAACTCATCTCTCATACGAAATAACGGTGACTTCTTGGAATACATTCATGATTCCCGAGTCATATCGGACATAGCAGGATATCTATCAAGTTGAAAAATTGCATTAGATACCGCTGGTCTGCTGTGTATCTAATTCAATCTTACGATTGTGGTGTCCTCAAATCGCCCGAACGAATGTCCAACCTAGTTAGATACATACGTAGAGTGACATTGCGAGAGTAGACCTTCAGTCACCTTCAGTCTCATCTCTCATCTCAATGTGCCTTCAATCAACATTCAAAATCACCGACTATTTTTGAAAGCTCTTTACTAAGCGAGGATACTTAACAACAATACTTGTGACATCTTCTGTGGCAACTCACCTTTCAGATCTCTATGCCCCGCAACTTCCCTCAGCATACGTGCCGCACCGTATGCGAAAGTAGCCATTATCGATATCATAGTCCTTGGTACTGCTTCTCGCATCGCGGCAGACGGTACACCGGTTCGCGGGGTTGTTGCCGTTCTGCACGTTCTGATCAAGGTAGTACACCCGGCCGCCTATGTCCTCGGCGCAGATGCCAATGGCCTCGTCGAGACGGCCCATTGCCCACTTGTCCCACGTGCCGCTCGGGTAGGACCAGAAGTAGGCGCAGTCCTTTGCTGTTGCTGCTGCTACTGCGAGTGCTGAGACGAGCAATGTCGTTGCGGGTCGCATCATGGTAGTTCTCAGATTCGATGGGTTGGCTCATGAAGGGCTAGGTGGATGTATAGTCAAGGCAGATTGAAGTTAAGAGAGACGTTTCGATAAGTATTTTAGCAAGAGTCGGGTGAGGTATGTCCTTCACCTGCGAAGGAAGCTGTCCGTAATAGTTTATGTATCTCAGCGAAGAATGTTCACCGCGCGTTCCGCGGATTTGTATGGCGATGTCCGGCTGAGAGCCCTCTTGGCAGCCTCACTGTACCCATATAGATGGGATTTCAAACTCAAATTGATGATAATCTGTACGTTGCCCAGAAGAAACGATAGCTGTTGGTCGGAGCGGACAACGCGATAGCTGGTTTCTAAGATCAGCAAAGGTCAAGGGGGCAAGTTAGCCACATTGGAGCAACTTGGAGCTACACTTAGTAGTCAGAAACACACTGCCGCTCGATTTTGACTAAGGTCATTGTCAGAAGTGATATCCAATATGCATTCGTTTCCAACTATGCTCTTTCGCCATACACATGCGCCTATTGTACACGTTCATCCTTTTTACTTCCAAAATATGAAAGAAATGTTCAACGCCGAGCGCCCAACACTACATCCAAAACATGACTCAACCACTACTAACTCGACTTGCAAGCGGCATAGCTGTCAAAGCCGGACGCTTGGTGCCAGGTCGTCAAGTGCTCAATCAAAGTCGGGTCAATATCGCGGTTGGCCTTGATAAAGATGGTCTCGTACGGGTGCACGTTGGTGCCAAAGTACTTGCCATTCCAAAGAACATCACCATTTTGCGACGTGTCGCACTCCTCAATGTAGTTCTTGGACTTTTGAAACGCTGTCATCATCAGGTCCACCTTGTAGCCTTGCTTCAAGAAGGTGCCCGTAGCACCAATCTCGGCATGCACGGCGTGGTTCCAGCCGTCGTAGCAGCCGCCCAGGCCGACGGGGTCATTCTCGGTGCCGAAGTCGTCCTTGACGGAGGAGCCCGGCGGGGGGTTGAGGAGCAGATCGATGCCTACGCTGTCGGTGGCCCAGATCATGGACTGGACGTGGAATCGGGGCCAGCAGTTTGCCGTCATGCCGACCAGCTAGCGACCCATGTTAGCAGCAGTCGCTAGAGTTGCGGAACGTCGTCGTCGTCTCACCTTGACTTCGTCCGTGAGGCGGTCCAGGTACATGTCAGTCCAGCACGACTGCGCCCAGTGAGGCAGGAAAGGACCGCGGATACTGGCGTTCATGGTGATGAAACGCTTGTACTTCTTGTATAGATCTCCTTTTCGGAGCACCTCGCCGTACGCGCCGAGGTCAAAGCAGGTGTTGTCCCTAGCAACGACCTTGATGTTGTCCTTTTCGGGGATGATACTGCTGACGTTGGTCTCGCCATTGAGAATGAAGATGAAGTCGGCAGCGTCGTGCAGGCCCTGCTTAACGAAGAATTGGAGGTTCTCGCGGCCGGCGTCGGACTCGGCATAGGCGTAGAGGATCAGGGGGCGGCTGCGGTCCTTGGAGCCGGACGATTCTTTCGACGTGGTAGAAGACGAATGCGACTTCAGAGACGTAGAGGCAGACGAGCTCTTGCTCGCGCCCTTGTTAGTGGCTGCGCTTGCGGTCTCCTTCGCTCCCTTGGCAGTCGTTTGTGAAGCAGCCTTGTCTGCCTTGTCTTCGTCGTCCTCGTACCATGGCGGGAGGGAGTACTCTGGCGACTTATCTGGTTTTGAAACATCGTGGGACGGCTTCGAGGACTTGTCGGGCTTCTGCTTATCCGCGGCATTGCTATTGCTGTTCGGGTACTGCGGATGGCCTACAGGATTGGCAGACTGCTGGTCGTGTGTCTGGGGGATCGAGAGTTAGTCCAGAGAGCTGGGAGAGAGAACAGGCAGTGACTCAAGACTCACAACGTGTGTAGGCGTTATCGACGTTGTCTGGGTAAAGGTCGAGAGCGTCCACAGGAAGAAGAGAAAGATGAGCAGACCAATGAAGGTCTGCCTATTCACTGGAGCCGTCGACATGGCGAATGCTGTCGATGGATGCTGCGGCTCGGAGTCGGCGACTTTTCAAAGATGTGTGCAATGCGATCGATGCGCGCAACTTAGGACCAGAACCAGCTGTGAGCGATGATTATCTTTACTGGACCAAGGATCGTGAATCACTGCATCAGAGCAAATTGACAATGACGATGAGCAAGAGAAATACAGAGCACGGCCGGCGAGGTTTAGAGGTGGGAAAGAGTTGAACTTACGTCGGAGACAAGTAAGAAGCTGAGCAAGGGGCCCAGGTCTCAAAATGGACGCCAGGGAGCTGTGTCTGACATCTTGGGTAGTCTGTATAGTGTGGCGTGGCGTCGCCGACTATGGCCAGGGAGGGAGGGGCTAGAATGAAGGGCACGCGGCACGGAGGGTATTGGAGCAGCTTCAGGCCAGCTTTCATAGTCGGGACCTGATTTTTAGAGTTTCAAGACTTTGAAATACTATCCGCCATCGCCTTGGCTGGCGGGTGGTCCAAGTTTCCTTCATGTCAGCCTTCAGTAACAACTGTCATGGCGAACGAACGACAACTAGCCTGTACGATTAGAGGAAAATATTCTGGCAGTTCTGTCTGGGGTAGAGTGTCTGAGCATATCAGAGCTGAGGCTCTGGATGCGGTGGTCCGAGGGATGGATCTGAGATGAGATGCAGGACGACTTGTGTGGACATGGGACACCACCGTCGACCATTCATCGGTCGCCGTACGCCTCCCACATGCGGTTCCGGGTGTCTGGACTCGTAAGGCAGTCCACAGTCCACGCACACTGCAGGGACCAAAGATCGGGCAGTTCCCACAGGGGGACGGGGAAAATCTGTGATGAACGCGGCAACGGGACTCCCCACGCTTCCGGCGCGGCACGTCATTGTGGACGGGGACAGCCAGGATGGTCATCGAGCGTCACCTTCGACTTATTTCATCAGGCTGGAGAGTTGCTCTGAACAAAGATTGCCTCACTTCTTCTCATGGTTGAGAACGGACGGAGAGGTGATTACACGTTATCGCAGTCTTTTCGTCTCTCGCTTCTAGACGACTATCGCCCGGCGTTACACAGTACTCGGCAGATCCCTTGAAATGCCCTTGATCCGCCCTTGGGTTATCTGCGGCCCCTGCGCCCCTGCATTGGCTCGTCCCTTGCATTCTGCACCAATTGCTTCTTTTGTCATCTTTCGAGGTGCCAATAGCGAACCTGACGCGCTTAGCTTTGGGCCGTGCAATTGGATGAGACCTGGTTTCATCGCAATGGAACAGAGAAATGCAGTTTTGTGGGCTTGTTGATGTTTTAAGCGCGATTGAGTTGAGTATGTGTGGTGCGCATAACCAGTTGTGTTTGGCCAAGATAAAAAGACACCTCACCAACATCTTCTATGTCGCTTTGCAACTTAGGGAAAAGTCCTCTCTGTGCGTTGGAGTTACAGGCTCAATGGGGACTTTGTATCTTTTAATATTCCATCTTTAAACTCAATTGGTCTCTTCTCTCGTCCCAGATAACGGCGTACTCGGGCAACCAGGTATCCCTAATTACGATTCCATGCTGAGGTTAGATAAACATGATTACTTACCGCCAAGGACTGTCAACGGACTCTTTCCTAAACCGCCGCAATTGCAACATGGCATTGGAAGACGCAACTCTCGAGGAACAGTCGCGATTGGCCGAGGTTGTCACAGAGGGCTTGTCAACCCGGCTGACTGCCTTATCTGGGAATGGAGTTGGGAGGAATCGGCCGATATCTCGAGCGGGGGTTGCACCAAGTGGAGGCGCAACTGATCTCACCTTACCATTGGAAACCTGTTCAACTGGTCATCAAAGTCGATGCCGTTCCATCGGTGCCAATCGCGAAGTCGCACATTACAAAAAGGATCCCCAACTCGTTGAGCAGAGTTTCTACCTCAACGTGAGACAACACAACTAGGAAAAGATGAGCGCCGTGACAATTCAACCACCGCTGTCCCGCCGTGGCCACGGGCCTGGGCTCATCATTGTAGTTGAAGAGGGCATCAACCTGTCCAAACACGACAAGATCCTGGACCCGCCTCCATCGCAGAAATGGGCAGAGGAAGGATACGCCGTTGCGCAGATAGTTGTTGCACCCGGAGCCGCGGACGTTGCTGGTCAGGTTACCTCGGCCATTAAAAGTCTCAGAGAGCTCGACACTTGTGACGACAAGGACAAGTTTGGCGTCATTTGTAAGTACGCCATTGCGTATTAGAAACCCCCAACTAACAAATTTCATCAGCTCTCATTAGTGCGCCCTCTTCGCAACTCGTGGATGCCCTAGAGAGCCGCTCCGAGATCAAGGCGGCTGTGTTCTATAACTTTGGCCAAGCACTCACAATTCCCACCCTTTCGCATCTCCCAAAAACCGTGACAGACAGTCCCAAGCCAACGCCTACGGCAAAGACTCACTCCTACCCCGGAGCAAGTGACTTCTTCGTCGTTCCTAGCCATCCCAACTTCAACGCCAATGCTGCAGGGCTTGCGCACACCCGCACACTGACGTTCATGAAACCCCTCCTCGGCGGGCCGTACTTCGACCTCGAGGCCGTCTGGGAAGAGCACACCCTCTTCGAGTTTGGCGAGCGCAATGTCGAAAAGACCATGGCCACCATGGTCGAGCAGCCCTATGTGAGTTTTGTCGGGAGGTAGCTCTCAAGGGCAAGGTTGGCTAATACTGGCGCAGGTTAACCACATCCCGACGCTCACCGGTGGCGTGGGGCGTCAATACCTGACCAGCTTTTACAGAGACCATTTCATCTTCAACAATCCCGATGACACTGAGCTCGAGCTGGTCAGCCGTACTGTAGGCATTGACAGAGTGATTGATGAATTCGTCTTCAAGTGCACACATAACAGGGTCATCGACTGGCTGTAAGTCTCCCCGGACGAGACACATGAAGAGCGTACTTCTGACCACGAACTCAGGCTCCCTGGTGTTCCGCCAACTGGCAAGCATCTTTCCATTCCCTTCACGAGTGTCGTCAATGTGCGG